CACGTATCTAGGTTACAATGTCTCCAGAGACCAGAAACCAGAAATTAGCATTAGATTGAGTAAATCTGCCACGGCATTCAATATGTTTATATGTTAAGACATGTAGTTTGGAGTAGAAAAACTATCTCAATTAAATCAAGACTACGAGTTTTTGGTTTCTGTGTTCTTTTTGTCTTGTTGTATGAGAGTAAAACGTGGGCAATTACCAGTACACGTGAACGTAGAATTGCTACTTTCTATATCAAATGTCTACGTATGATTATTGGAGTAAATCTGAGTGATAGAATGCCAAATGAGAAGTTGTTGGAAATCACTGGGCAACCACGAATTGAAAATATTTTACGTAGGAACAGATTGAGATGGTTTGGACATGCTAATCGAATGCTGAACGGTGATGGTGAACCATCGGTAGTGAAAAAGATTGTTTTCGTACTTTCCTGAAGAGAAACGGCCTCGAAATATTGGTATAAGGAAGAGATGGGGAGATAAAATTCAAAATGATATATAAACTCTGAATATTTCCAACTGGAGAAGACAAACTCTCCCCTGGCTATAAAACCAAAACATATTTGTATGATAAAATGTATTTTTCCAAAATCTCACCAGATAAGGCTCAAAGATCCGTAGCCCTATCTGGCCTAGCCCTGGCTCCGCCACTGTGGAGTAGTACAGCGAAAAGTTACAGAAGTATTAATTAGAGACACCAATGGTAAATACATCTGTCCTGGTTATGGTAAATTCTTTAAGCCTCAGGGAATTACGAAGCACGTAAAATCTTGTGCAAAAGATTGGTGTATAAAAAACAAAATCAAATGAATGAAGTAACGGAACAGCTAATAATGAGTGTTATGCACCTATTGAAATTTGAACTTTGTGAGAATGACGGTTGCCATCAAAACTGATCTCAGAGGGTGGTATCCTGATGAAAAACCTAGCTTCAATTCCAGTAGTGACCAACAGAACATTCGTCAAATAAAGTACTGTCAGTTTTGTGTGTTTTTATTATTTTGTTTTGATTCTCACCTTATACCAGTGACGGTAATGGGTATAACCATCTAACTAACACATTTGATTTAATGAAGATAGTTTTTCCAGTTCAACTCTACGTTTGTCGACATTTAGTAGAGTGTAATAAAAATTTGTTACAGTATTTTATTTTGCAGAAGTGCGTGTGTATTGTGTTTTGTTTTCTGTTGATCGTAAACGGCGTTGACACTATGAGAGTAGACTTTCTCAGTGGCTACTACAAGAGAGAAATCACCAAAATGCAAAAAATTAATCTTTCTCCTAGCTTGTTTGTTGTTTCCTCCGCTGTTTATCAATTTGTAATTGTTTAATGTCAATATACAATAAAAGTTCTCATCAGCGCTCTAAACACTATCTTCCTGATCGCTATAATCGACAGATATTCGTCGAACATAAACTTTGTTCTTCTCGTATATTCAGTCTAGCAGAAAAGTCGTTGAATATGTATGTTATGTGCCAGAACAAGAAAAAAGAATCAAATGAAGCACACAACATGTATATAGGACGACATTATTCTTAAACTTAAACAAGAGAACAAATTCTATTTGAATCGAATATTCAGTTTAGTCAGCATGAGGAGGCGTCCAAATAAATCAAATTTTCATTTAATCGTATTTTCATGTTTCATTTCTACTTTATTTCATTTTGTTCATAAAATTAATGTGATTATTCACTGACTGGATAACTACAGTTGGAACACATTATCTCCGATTATCATCACCCGAAGAGCCGAAAAGTTATGGTAGTGGACAAGAACAGTTTATCTCGTTGTTGCATTCAAAAGAAGAAAGTATGATTTATTAAACGTTAATCACTAATATTGCGAACTACATATCTCAAAAACTAAAAGAGATCTTTTTCTAGAAAATACATCAGTATACAGTGTAACTTATGTACTTCAAACTCATATAAGAGGTGAAAAAGGGTTCTCTCTAGTCAATTTAATTTTAATTCATGAAGTTAGCAAAATATCAGACGAGCACTGCTTCTTTTGGGCATATAATAAATATCTAGATTAAAATAGAAAATTTGTTTTTTCTTCGTTTCTTGCTTTATATCTATTTCTATATGCACACAGAAGGTGCATTGACACCGATATTGACGGCTCTGTATCTCAAAAAGTAGACTGTACCCTTTTCTAAAAAATAGCTCGGCATAGAGTACAACTTGTGTAATTCAACTGTCTTAAAAACTGAAGAGGGGTACTTTCAAAAATTTGTTAACTTTTTAATCTGTCAAGTTGACAGAATATAGAGTAATTTCATACTGACTGCAGTGAGCATTCCGATGAAAAGATAAAACTTTTTCAGTTTTCACTCCATTTCTTTCTATATTTGTCTGTATATATGCGTATAAAAGGGGAAAAGGTCAAACAGAAAGAAAAATGACATTACAAGCAGAACGAATAAAATGCGGCATGTTTGAAATTGAACGGTGAACTATACCGTTGAATACAGTGGTATTCTAAGTGATTTCGACGAGATCTTTGCGCCATACAACGTAACTCGTGTAAAAATCCCAAATATCGTTTCTTCAGAAAAAAGTTATCAAATTTTGATATGTGTACTCGAGTTCAACTTTTTAATGCTCTTTCTCTTTTCTGCAAAAAGCACTTGGTACTCGTACTTGAAAAACTATATACTCGCCTATCCCTGCATTTCTGAACTAACTTCTCCGACTATGTTCTCAAATTGCTTTCATAAGTTTACTGCTTTCTGAACGTTGAACGTTCTGAATATTGTGTAATAAATGCATATGATAAAATGCGTAAATGTAAAATTAATTACGTTGTTACATTAAACAAAATGATATTGCTATGTATCTCTTTCAGACTAACGGATATGATGACATTGTTGCAATTCCACATTGATTATTTTTATTACGACTCATCAAAATATAGCCTTCGTTACCCCATGCGGTTCCCCATGAATTTTTAACAATATAATAATCCTTTTTTTTATCTGTTGTACCATAGCCAACAATAACAGCTGAATGACCTAAATTTTCAGATGAACAATCAGGCTCATCTAAAACACCTGATTTATAATTTATAAATGATGGATGACTTGCATCCATTGCAACTGAGATTGGTCCTATTGTTGCAATGGCAATTTGTAAATCACTTTCGCTTCCTTGTTTGATATCAACATAACCTTCAACAATAATAATAAATAAAATTAGATAACGTTAATAACTAATATTTACCTGTATCATTAGCACCAACATTTTCCCGTTTAAAGCGACATTTGCCATCTTTACCTTCATATGGATAACTTTTTTCTGTATCAATCCCTTTATTAATTCGAATATATTCAAACGCTTGATCCATTAATCCTCCATTACAACCTTGATTTCCTTGTGCTCCAGAACAGTCAATTAAATTTTGCTCCGATAATGATATGAGTTTTTTATATTTTTTGAAATGTTGCCCTTCTAAAGCACCCGTTGCTGTCATTGCCCAGCACGAGCCTACAAAAAGCGGGTACATAAAGGTGAACAAAAAAGAGAAAATACATACCACATTGTAGTTCATCTTTCACTTCAGTTACATAACCTTCTTTTCTCCAATCAACCTCTGCTGGTATTCTAATATCTGATGGTGGAAGAAATGTATGATGATCATGATTATTATTACTTGTGGTTCGAAGTTCAGGTCGAAAACCACCGATCATTTTTCGAACAACTTCATCATGTGTCTATAATTAAACATGAACACAAAAAAATGAGACAAGAGACAAGTAATACATACAACTTACCCAATCAGTAAACTTATTCACTCCCATTTTATAAGAATATAAATCAAGATCGGCTTCTAAATTGTGTTTACGAATTTTTTCTAAGTTTTTTTCCCATATTTTACGTCTGAGGCCAATAAAATTCAGTTTTATGTACTAGAAATTTTATTTTTAGGCATCATCCGGAAATTGCCGTTGCCGTGGATTCTTATATGTTAAAGTGTTAAACTATAAACGTGCATAATTGAGAGTTGACGAAGTGAGGATGAGGATGGAGCACTTCTTCACCCGCTTCACTCTCACTTCTCCACCCTCACCCTCACTTGCCGTGAGTTCGTATATGTTATAACACTGAATCCGCGGCGACGGCGATTTCCGGATGTTATATATTTTTAATTAAAGTATACCGATCTGTTTCTTCTTCTGTTGATGTATAAACTTTTCCATACAGTTGTTTAAACAAATTCCATGGTTGATCAAGTGATGCTGATAATAATGTGGTTGGTAAACCAAATACAGTTACGACAAATAATAGAACAACTAATAATATCGATTTCATCTTTTTATCAAATAATAACAGTTTACCTTCGAGTATATTCACCGTTTGATTCTATAATACCTTTTAGTTTAAAAATTGTCATTACACTAATAGAACGAACAAGTTTTCTTATTTTCTTATTGTCACTTTATTTACACAAGAAAAAACAAAATATCATCCTGATTCATGTCTTTTTTAACAAACACAAATGATAAATTTTTTAACTTATAAAAGTAAGTTATATTTGCTTTTGAAGATACGAAATAGCATGTGACGGACAATGTATTTCATTCTTTATACTTCTATGAAGAACGAAATAAATCATTTTAATTTTTCGAAAAATAAAGAATCGGTTAAAAAATAAAATTTCTTCATAATCACATAATTGGATTGATGAGAAGATTGTTTTTTATTCGGATACATAAATCGAAAATTGCATCGAACTGAAATGATGTCGTTGAAATGGAAATACTTTCTTCGAAAATCCAGTGAGGCAAATAGTTCGGCATTTGCGGTCTGATGAATATTCTTTTATGAACGCATTTTTTCATAAAAAAAGTGTCTAGAAAAATTCTTTTTCGATAGATGCGCTTCATTCCTTGATTAGATGCAGGGTTTATGGCTGAAAATGTGCGGATCAAATTGAACCGTAGTTTTCTGGTGACCATCGGATCACCGCATAGAAAAATTATATTGTTTATTTACAACGAAAAATTCCTTTTATTCAAAACATTTCAGTTTAGTTTTTTATTCAAAGCTAGGGACTAAATTCTTTTTAGAACTCAAAACATCCTGCTCGATAACAAACCAAATTTTTTCACAAAACACCAGTAAAATTACTGAACAAGCATCGTTTTTCATGTAACAACTATTGTGACGCCATGCGAACAAAGTGACATAAACCAGCAGAAAAAGGTGACATCGGTATACTCAATAAAAGGTAATAATAAAAGGTAACACGCATACGTATCTAGTTAAAAGTCCTTTTTTTAAGCAGTAATCTAGATGACAACTAGTCCTGTGCCGCCCGATTGCAGACGACTAAATGTATCTAGGTTTTCCTGTAGGTAATTTTTGCCTGGATAATGAGCTCCTGAGCCGTATTAAGAACCCAAGGAGAAAAAAAATATCGACTATCGGGCGATCTAGCTAGCTAACTCAATATACTACCCGATATACCTAGCTAGCAATTCGAATTGGGTTATTTACTATCGGGCGATATAGCTAGCTAACAC